TCATATCTTTACACAAAATAAAGGTTTTCACGTAACCAAGTTAAGCAGAATGTAAAATTATATCAAAGCTTTTTTGTTTTTTTTTTCTTTTTATAGTGCATCACTAGTCAAATTGGAGGGCAGGTGGCAAGATTCAGCCGAAGTCCCTCTGCAAAAGTCAGGAGAGGCGCAACCTCGTGGTTTTAGCCAGCCCATTTTCACTATCCATAAGCTGCTACTAAACGCATCTGATTTTGGCCAGCCCAGCCTATACAATACCACTTTCCTTGATATTTTCGTGCTGCCCATTCCATTTACCGTATATTCTGAATGGTACTCTAATGGTAGTCCGCAAAAACTCTTGAATAAGTTGCCGGATCGTGAATCTGCTACTCAACTTCGACATCAGCCCTCCAAAGCTTCATCATTTTCCTTGTCTTCTTCTTATTCCTCCTCCTCGTCGCTGAATACTTTGACAAAAAACTTTTCTACTTCAAGCTTCGATCGGGATCTTGTCATCATGATAGCAATGATCGCATTCACACTGGTTGTGTCTTTGGTACTCATTGCTGCAATCCTATTTTTACGCTGTCGACAATCTGGTAGTTCTAGCGGAAATAGAAATTTATGCAGACCTGGCTGTAATGAGCAAGATACAGGTTGTTTGTCATTTTTCGACACTTTTCAAAGTTGTTTTGGGGCCTGCTGTCACCCATATTTTTTCCGGTCTAATGCCCGTGCTATAATGTCTGCTTGTCCGACTATATGCAGGAGAAATCGCTGCGATGGAATCAGCTCAGAAGACTGGCTTTCAAGTCGAGTGAGAGATTCACCCGATTACAAGATAAACTTGCGTCAGATATGGGGCGTTGATGATGAAAATAGTGCTAATGTTGGACTATTTAGACCCGTCAATGACATAAAACATTGTATTGGACAATATCAACTGGCTTCTATGGAGAGTGGATTGCCCAAGTCACTCGGCTCAGATGGTATGAAATTGTTTTTCTTAAATTATTTTGGTCATAAAATGCTATAAGTTATGGCCATTTTGGATAAAAGCTGAAAATTATGGAATAAAGTCCTAAAATACCTGTATAGTACATCATATATAGGATGAAATTCATATATAAAAATCTTCTTGGTGTAAATTTATATCTTTTTACTTACAACATGATATCACTTCTATCAATTATTATAAAGGAAATAAATTGTTAGTTTATATTCTAAGCGCGTATGAATTCCACAGAAGATGAAACAAAGTTTATAAAAAATCTTGTTTCAACAAATTTCCTGCAATTTTTATACTTTATTTATATCCTCCTCTTGCAGAATAAAATATAAATACATAAAAGTAAAATAATTTACTAAATCTTTACTGTTATGATATTATAACAATTACGGTATGCTAATCACGCCTAATTAACGTCAAGTTAATATACCGATAAAAGACAGTTATATATTTTCATAAATGCCTGTAAATTA